CGGGGGTGGTGGGTGGAAGCAGGGCCTGCTGCGATCCTCGGGGGGATTCATGGAGAACCCTGAACGAGCGGGTCGCTGTGTAGAAACTCGAATTAAAGTCGCCTCGCAGCTCTCTCGGGCCGAACTCGTGAGAACCTCGGCTCGGGTACGGGTGTTTGGGCTGGTCCGGTCTCGTTTTTCCCGCTCAGAGAGAGCCCGGGCTCTGCCGGGCCGGTCGGGTGCTCCTGAAGATGAAGAGAGGCCTGGGCAGCGGTGCTGGTCTCCCGGTGGTCTTCCCCATGTCCCCACCCGTGTCTGCCCTGACTGCCCCCTTTGTGCAAAGCTGAGACGTGACAAACCGAGTCTGGGTGTTTTTTTCGGCTGTTTGTTTCGACAGGCCTCCCCACAGCTTGAACTGGCAAACACCGGGAATACGTGTGCCAGAGTACTCGCCTGAGGGGGTTGTCTGTTGCCGTACCGCCTGGGGAGGTGGGAGACCTGTTAGTGTAGCCCCTTACTTGGCCCAAATCAATGCTACTGGGGCTCTGGTCCCCCTCACCCCCAGGCTCTTTTAGGTCTGTGTTGGTATCGAAGGAATTGAAACACTGACAAGTGATGTGTCATGTCTCTTGTGTGCATTTCAGTAAAGCTATCATTTATGTATCCGTATCTAGATAGCCTTTCAGGTTCTCTTCAAGTGAAAGTCTCTTTAATTGCTTATTCCTTTCTGTTTGTGCTGCTGCTGCTCTTCTGAAAAACACCGTGCGAAGCTGAGCATGCCTTCTTGTTGAAGGCAATGCTTAAAGTGGGTTGATATGCGATGATGGTGCCTACTGCGAATGGATACTGAGGTTTTTCTGTATTATTGAAGAGCAAATGCTTCACTAAATGAGCTATCGTCAGTTATTAGAAATGGGATTGCTGTTTCATTTCACGAAAGGCGCTAGTAAACTTTAGCAGACAATCAATATTCTATCATGACAGACTTGGGTCTTGTTCTTGTGCGAGATGGCTTGCAAATACTAAAAATGTGAGGGGCTGCCTCTCTCATTGCCTCTTAGTATTTTAACGCTGGGAAGCTGTGTTACGCGGGCAGTGTGGAAACTTACCAGGTAAAGGGAAGGATGCACAGTGGTAATCATGACTTTACTATTGCAGCCTGCACTTAAGAAATGAGGCAATATTTAAAGAGTATGAATTAAATAATCCATATTGCACTTGAGCTTTACGTCACTAATATATGTTTTGTGTAATCAATTTCAGCATTTCACTGTGGGTCTCACTGTAAGGTGAAAAAATCATTTGACTCTTACTTTATGCAAGGCAGCTAGCAACTTTGACAGCAGGTATTGAAAACTAATTACTGCTGGCTTTTAAGCTATGTTCACAACTTAACTTGATTATGCTTAGCTAGAAAACATTTTTACCAAAAGTAAAGTGAGGGAAGAATTAGCCTCTACCTCAAGCACAAATGAGATCACTTGTTTCCACCACATTTTTAGAACTGGGCAGCTAGTGTTTTAGTGGGTCTGCTCTACATTACCACAATACTTTCAACATAAGTATAATCATAGGCAAATACAGTCTCTGTTGTTGAAATTGAGCTGAAGTTGACAATGAACTGCATGTGCTAGCTAAATAATATTATGAAGATATAGGCCATTATTGTTGCACACTCTACCTAACACAGTAAATAACATATCTGTCAGCCTCTGCTGTTGGACTTCTACTTCCATAGTTCTTAGAAATTAGTTCCTTGGTGTTAGCTACCTGTATGTTAAAACTGGATGTTTAAAGTTGCTTAATTAACTATACAAATGTGGCTTCTGGATGTGATGTCTAGGCAGAAAATCTGTTCTTCATTTAGTGTATTCCACTGTCCTCAGCTGAGGAGCGCTGTCAGACATCTGAGTCTTGCGTCCTATGATGTCCTGTTATCATAGAGCTGGCTGTCAAAGGAAGGTCCTATTTCCAAGCAGGAGGTGGAGCTATGAAATGAGCCTTGGTGGGGGAGGATAATCCTGTGGAATCGATATTTGGTATCAGTTGGACACAACACTGGTGGACATGCCAGAAGTCTCAGCTGTCACCGTGTGAGAGGGCTGCAAAAGCAGCAGGTTCATAAGGAAACCTTTGGACATTTCTAGCTGAGCGTACACTGGCAATCTATAGAGACTTTTCAGATTTCGGAAATGAATGCTAGGCTGTAAAGCGAGAGCTAATTTTTCACATTAATTTCACAGACAGCAGCTCACTAGTGAGCTCTGAATCTTGCTTTGAAGACTGCTTCAAGGAGTTGTTTTAGCTACAGTGGGTTGGAAAGAGATTGGAAAGAAGGGAGTGGCGCAACTTTGTACCACGTTGTCGTTCCCCAAGTCCTAAAAAATGTAAGCAAGGTTATCCTGAAGCCCTTTTATGGATTCAGTTAAAGACAATCTGTAAGTGCTCAGATTCTTTTTAGTGGAGAGGATGCAGCTAGCTTCAAATATGGTTAGTTCAAAGGAAAAAGTATCTGTAGCCCTTTTTACAGGCCCCTTGCAAGTTGTGTGAATTTCAAGCACCACTGGGAGAGACCCAAGCAAAAGGAGGGATCTATAGTGGAGAAGAACCAATGAAATTGGATATGCAGGGTTATATCAAATACTCCAGCTTCTTTTAGAATAGGGAGAGGTGCTGGATAGCAGATGTGAACTTATTTACTGATCATTTGGTATGCTGGCAGTGTTGTAACTACATAAATAACAGTAAACTCGAGAAGCTGGTGGGTAACTAATGATTCTTTGTCTTCTTGGTTTGTGAGTCAGCAGATAGATGCTTTCACCAAAACAGTTTAGCCTTATGAAGAGAATCTTGTCAAGTAAGAAAAAAATGTGGAAAAATCAAACTATAGAAGAATCAAGGTCCTATAATCTAGGCCGTGCTGCAAAATGGCTATACCTACAAAGTCCAAAGTTCACATTTGGTTCTGTGTACCCGGCTCGTCATCTAAACGTTACATCAGTTCACGTTTTTTACAACCCTATCTCTGCGGTTTGGCTACTTCTAATATACATGTTGCATACTGCGTTATTCCACTATATGCATATGGAATTTTGTTTGAACTGTTGTACATCTAAATCCCAGGCTGCTTTTTCTGTCAGAACTTGAACTAAACTTCTAGAGTAGTGTTAGAAGTGTGGTAGTCTGGGAACTTCTCCCTCAGTGAATATTTCTGCTATTAGACTTGAATTTCCTGCATACCAGACATCAGGATCTTGTAAAAAAAAATAATGCTGCTATATCTTAGAACTGGCTTTGCTTATTTAGGTTCTGTCACTGGTCCGCCTGCTTGAGTCTCTTGTAAGAGTAGTGTGTGATTGCAGATCACTGCCAGGGTATGTTCAGGTGCGATATGACGTGCCAGATTATTTTCCACAGTGGATGTGTAAGCCAGTGCTGGCTGGCTTTCTTGGGGCTCACCTACTCACAAGCCTCTGACCGTTGCCAGAGGAGGAATGAGGTGGCTGAATTGAACGTGAGTTAGGTGGTGAAGGTAGCTCAGGAATACTGAAACGAAGGGAGAGGGAGTTTTCTTCCCCAATTACTCCATCTGTTGGTGACGAGTTGGGTAACTGCTTGGCAAACTAGCTCTTGGGTAGTCAGCCCTTGAAACATCACCTGCCCGTTGAGAAACTTTTATGCAGCCTGAGCTGTCATTCTTCATTGCAGCACAAGCTTCTGAGCAGGGATCATGGATGCTCTTGTTTTTTGGGTGAGGAGCGCTCTCAGGAAACATCTGATGAGGCACGACAAGACCTCTGGGGCCTTCCTTGTCCTGGAAAGATCCCACTAAAGCTGAGGGACAACGTGTTGTGTTTCTCTGGAAACTGGCTGAGGCCTTAAAGGGAAAACATCTTATTGAAATAGTTGAAAGGTTATTCTGTCACTTGTCCTTTACCTCTGAAGCTTGAGGCTCTTGCACAAGGCCAGTCCTCCAGAGGAGTGGAATATAACTGACTTGAAAGTTTGTCTCATCTCTGGCACACAGAACTGCAGGTGCTGTGCCTACCTGCCAGTTAGCAGCACAGTTGGTAATAAAATCCTGCACGTGCCTGTTTTTAAACGAAAAATCATGTGTAGTTAGTATGCAAACAAGCATAGGCTTGTCCACAAAAGAGCACTTTACAGTTTTGTAATCTCCAGATTCTTCATCGATGCATCAAGCCTTCGTAGGAATAGAGTGAAATGCCAAAATTCCTAATCTGAAAATGAATAGAAAGGACTCTGGATTCTTTCTTGGCTCTTGGGTACAGTAGGGGAACATGTTTCTCCTCATTAGAGCACAAGCATTACCCTCAGTGAAAGTTCTGAATTACCCAGACTTCATGTAGAAAGAGCTGCAAATGTGTTTTTTTTTTTTGTTCTCAATTTAAGTTCTGCTTGCTGTTTCTTCCAAACAGGTGGTGATCAAGATGCCCCTGTTGCCATTTAGTTGTGCTGTTTTTGTCAGTGAAATTCTGCTCAAAGCAAAAGCACCTCCAAAGATGAGGTGGAGGAGGAGTAAGACTTTTCAGTCTTTCATTTTCATAATCTTTTGGGTGGTGTTCTCTTTGCAGATGGTCGCTATTCCAGGAGGAGTGTTCACAATGGGCACTGATGAGCCTGAAATACATCAAGATGGAGAAGGGCCTGCTAGAAGAGTCCACGTTAACAGTTTCTACATGGATCAGTATGAGGTCAGCAATGAGGAGTTTGAGAGATTCGTGAATTCTACTGGGTACGTTACAGAGGTAAGGCGGAAGGGTATACAGTCTCCTGTCATCTTTCTTTTTGTTGGCAAAATCCCCGTTAAAAACTTAGGCTGTTCTTTTTTGAAGGATGTCACAATTACTTGCTTGGGGTTTGCATACTAGAATTTTTCTGATGTAAGTAGTGTAGGGAGAAAATTGTCTTGCCTTGCTGCCCAGGGGTCTGAAAGGGGATTTAGACGTATACAGTTAGACTTATTAAGTGTCTTGATATCTGAACTAGTATCTTCCATGCAGTATGACCGAGGCAGCCTGGGTGAAGCTAACAGATGGCTAAAGATGTTTATGCAGGGTTTTGGGTTTTTTTTTGTTGTTGGGGTTTTTTTGACCTTTGGGTCCTAGGATGTCTTTATACCAGTACAACTATGTTGTTAGATTTTCCTTATTTTAGAGGACCAGGGATTTAAAAGACTATGGTGGCTGAGGACTCTCAGGCTAGTTCAGCGCAGCTACTTGCTGATGAGCTGAGCAACAGAAAGCCTTGCTGTCTAAAGAAGACAGAATAGCAAGTATAATAATAGTTTTGTGCATGTGGCTGGGAACAATAGGCTAAGAAAGAATATGTTAAGGTTCTTCCAAGAAAGAAGCTACCTGTGCCTGAGGCTCTGATCTTTCCTGACAGTTGACTGTTCCTACGCAACTTTTATAAAAACCTGACAGGCCTTTTAGGCAAATAAAAGCCTCAGTAATAATCAGGTCTCAAAGGAGGCACTTTGCTGAATTCACTTGATAAACTGGTTCTCATTTGGAAGACAGGATCCTTCTGGTTGGATGAAGGGCTTCTTTTATCTATGGCACTATTTCTGTTTTAAGTTCTTAGCTCAATAATTATGAAAAAATGTTGCTTAACAATTTTGAGTTTGAACAGGGCTTACTTGTTGCAAATGGCTTCTGGAATGAGCAGATGTGCAGTGGTATTTAAATGTAGCACTGCATCGGATGGTCTGTTTCAGACAGTACTTCGTGGCTCAGCTGGTGTAGTTGGGTGCTCCACTTACACTGTCTCCCATCCCCCCTCGCATGGGGCCCCCTTTTATGCTGGATTTGGAAAAATAAACTCGGAGTTAGAGTAAACAGCACTGATTCTGCAGGGTTTTTTTGGGGGATGCAGCTGAGTTGGTTTTTGTGTGTTTAAATAATGTTCACATTACTTACTGCGGGTAAACAGAGCCAACCTACTTTTTGGTTTTCTTTTATTAAGGACTAGACTGAACTGCAGTGGCAAGTGAAACTTGAAAGTAAATAGAAAGCTGAAGAAAAAAAATCTCCAGATGTGTAGCGATCTTGTTGAACCAAAAGTATTTTTTAACAAAATAATAATAATAAAAAAGCCATTGATGGAGGCTGTCAGACTGAAATTTGGGGTCCTTTAGGTGATAAACCTGTTTGCCTCTGTCTGGATCTTTCAGATTGGGCAAGAGTGGAAAAAAAAAAAAGTATTTTTTTCTTCTCTTTGATAAACCTGTTCGCATCTTTGTCTGGGTCTTTCAGACTGGGGAAGTGAAAGAAATTATGTATTTTTTTCTTCTCTTTCCTTTCTGAAACTGAATATATAAAGATTACAGTCATATGCTAAAACTTCTTGCAATTTGGGTGGTGAATGGGATCCTTCTTTCAAACTGTGCTTCTTGAAGAGTTCTCAGCATGCAGAAACAGCTCATGGTGATCATTCTCAGTCTTTGAATGCCTATAATAAAATGAAGAAATTGAGAAGGGCAAATGTGAATTCTGATAACATGTTTTGACTTCCCTAGTATATCAATTCACTTGGCTTACCAAGGGAAAAAAGCCCTACATTGGTATCATGCACTGTCATTCCTTGAAATTATTTGTATTTTTTGTTTCTTTTGGCTTTATATAGTGCTAGATGTAATGACTGGGTTACTTTTAACTCTTTTATTGTTGTTGCAACAGCATTTTAAATCATGGTGCTAGTGATGATGAAGGAGCAGTAAGTGACAAGGTTTATGCCTAAGTTTGTAATTCCCAAAGGAAGAATGAGAGATGAAATAGGCCCTTGAATGTTACATTGACTGTAGCATTTTAAAGCAGTTGGGACAATTGGAACTGCGTTTTTAATTAATAAAAGTAAAAACATTTGCAGAAGTTCTGTGAGCTGCCATCTGTCCAGTGGCTGTTGAAGAATGACGACACCCAGAGATAAAATGCCTTCTCTTCTGTTCCAAAATAGCTTCCTTGAAAGAAAACTCAAAATTACTATTAGAATTTCCTTATCCTTGATAAAATAAAGTTGTAAATGTGAGTGGCATTTTAAGAATAACATTCCTTTGATAATATGCTTGAATCTTTTGTTCTTTATATAGGCGGAGAAATTCGGCGATTCCTTTGTGTTTGAGGGAATGCTGAGTGAAGAAGTGAAGGCTGACATCCACCAGGCAGTGAGTAACACAGCAGGGTAAAGCTTACTTAGCAATCACTGGGGTAGATGTGTTAGCAATTATGGCAGTAAGAGCTAAATTGTGTGATGTTCCCGAAGCCATGTACAAAAATGGGGTTTATGGAGGGGGGGTTGGTCTAGAATAATATACTTCCTCAGGTGTGGAGGATTTACAGTCTATTCACTGTTCTCCCTTTTTTTTTTTTTTTTAAACAAACAAAAAATCTGCTTCTGATAAGCAAAAGTTAGTATCAACCCCTTCTTGTTGTCTTTTGCCTCCGAAGTGAGAGGTACTTAGGACTGTAGTAAGTGGTTCAGATAGAAGGCTGTTTGATTGTATTATGTGTAACACAGTGATGCTTCAGAAATTTAGATGTCACTAGTGGCTCTCCTGAGTGATGTGCTGTGTAGGCAAAGAACAGGAGTGCTTCTGGCTCCAAGAACATACGTACATGTGACTGGTACGCTCTGCCAGTGCAGTCTTATGTCCAAAGTGGGTAAATCCTGGATCCTTCCGATTTAAGAAAATCAGGATAATCTGTGTATCTGATACAAAAGTGGTGCTTGCATGAGTGCTTTTTCTAGGTTAACTAGACGCAAATATTCCTAAGTGCCATTTCTATGGCAGACCTGAGTCTGTAAGATTGCTTATTGTGAATGGCTAAAGTTTACTGTGCTTCCTCCATCTCTGTAGAAGGTCCTGTATGCCTTGCTGTTTTTTCAGTTCCCTTCATCTTGCTAGGGCAACATAGTGATCCTGGCAGGTGCAGTGCTGATTAAACTGGAACCGATCCACTTTTCCTGTTGGGTGGAAGTGAATATTAGTTTAAAAAAACTCAAAAGTTTGGTAGTGAAGGTTCCCTGCCCCCCCCCCCTTCCCCTTTTTCTGTTGTGAGTGTGTTGATGAGCCTTTCTTAGGCTTCATTTAACTCCTCTTTAACCTTAACAGGTCACTTAACCTTTACAGTTCCCAATAGTAAGCAGATTATGTGTTGTCATCTGCTGGATGACTTGATCTGCTTTGAGCAGAAATTTGGACAAGATGACCTCCTGAGGTCCCTTCCCATCAGAATTATCCTCAGGTCTGATCAACACACTGTGTTTCCAGATCTCTTGTCCCATGCCTTTAAAAGGCCTTAGAAATGAAGCATTCTGATGTGCATAGTGTGGCAATTTGGGGTGGGGAGGCGTAGCTTCAAGTTGCTTTTACTCTGGATGGGAATTTCTTTGCTTTTTTGGTTAATTTTCTTTTGGATCAGCGAAGATAACTTGGCTCATTCTGCAACTGCTGGAATCAACACAGCTAAGCAGGGTGTATATAAGGCAGAGATACTACACAAGGTAGTAGCAGGACTGAAACTGCATCTTTTGGCAATAGTTCAGTTAGACATAAATAAGTGTTCAAGTGAAACTGCATCTATAAAGGAGCACAACTTTTTCTTGCCACATTTTGTACCTTCTGATGCTAGATAAGCAAAGAGAGAGAGGTGGGACAGTCTGAGACGAAATTATTTCTTTTAGTTAGTAGCAAGGTTTTACTTGTGTACAACATTTGACCCAAGGTACAACTTCAAGAGTTTAGAGGATTATTTGTTATGATAAACAACTGAGAATACCCGGGGCTTTAGTTTTAGTCATTTAATTTTCTCCAAAATAGTTTATCACACAAAGAATTTTTCTTCCATGTGCATGATGCAATACCTTACAATAGTGAATATTCATTTGTTCTACATAAATGATGCTCTGGTTGAGGGGGAAGTCTGTAGAGTTTAATTTTTATCTTCAAGGGGCGGACTGATAGATTGGAGGTTTCAAGAAGCCCTATGTCAATGTGTGCTGTGAAGGATTGGCAAAAAATGTGGGGTTTTGTTTCCTACTGCAAGGGAAGAAAGATTACAAGAATAGTTTGTTATCTTTTAATTCAGGACTAACAGTTCTGTACTGTGAGATATAAGAGGACTAAATTGGACTTCCCAAATACGAGTGTCACTGATGTTGAAGGTAGAATAAGTGCAGATGGGCTCATCCCATCTTCATAAAAGTTGGTATTAGAGAAATTCTTTTTCCTACCCTAGTTCTGTGATGCAGAAATCCCTAAATCAGGCTCTCTGTTTTAAAACAAACAAACTCTAAGAATGCTGGTGTAAGCTCAGTCTTGGCTACTTTTATAAACACATAGGGAGTGTCGGGAGTCACTTTCCTGGGTGTGTCAGCCAAATTTTGAAGTGTTGCCTGTAATGCTAACAGAACAAGTATTATGCCAGAGCTGGAATGGAGCCCAAACTGGTCTTTTTGGCTGGTTCTTTATGAAAGTTTTCTGTATTTGTTAAAAGTAAACTTTAGGAGACTGTCCTTTTGCCATGTTTTCAGTATTTATTATTAGCTCACTTTGCGAGTTGCTGGCATGCAGAGCATTGTCAAAATGAACACACAGAAAGATTGTACTAGTTATTTTGGTAAAGTGATCTGGAGCATAGTGACTGACTGCCTTGGAGTTTGGCACTTCTTAACGTTATGCTGATGCTGTGGACAAACTTATGTTCGAAAACATGGCAATATCATGAGGATGTGAAAAAGAAACTAGAAACTGCTTTTCTTCCTCCTGTCTGCCTGCCCCCTCACCAGCTACCTACCATGAAATCCAACTTTCAGCAAGGAACTTCTGTCTGCGAGGGGAAGGTGTCAGAAGGCAGCTCAGTGGTAGAGTGGAAAGCAAACTCTAATGCCTGAAGATACAGCTTAGAATTTTATCTGTATATGCTTCTGCCTCTCAAAACTGTGTCTTTTTGTTGTTCTAGTAAGCGTTTTCTGTGAGAGGTTATAAATGTTTAAAGTACTGTGTGGACTTTAGTTGTTTTGAGGGTCTTTGGGTTTTGTGAGAGTGCGATTTGTAGCCTAGAACAAGCAAGCATCTTTCGGTTGCTGGGAAGGGAAGCATCAGCCATGGGGACGTGGTGTTAGAATATAATGTACTCAGACAACTGGATTCTGTGTAGGCCATGCTTATCCCGGCTAATTGAAACTAATAAAATGTGTTAGCAGTTTTCTATAGATCATGCTTTCAAGAAACAAGTTTCTATAGACAACTTGCAAGACGCTTCTTACTGTGAAAATGTAGAAGCATCCCAATTATGGGGCAGGGACTTTAAGGGTTCTGCAAAAGCAAATTCTTCCTCGGGATCTGCAAGCTTAAATTAAACAATAGAAAATAAAAGCTAGCTTCTTGTTACATTGCCCAAAATGTTTAAAATCTACTAGTGTCTGCTGGGGGAAAAAAGGTGAAAGGAATCTAATACTATTCAATTACTTTTAAAAAAAAAAAAAGTGAGCACACTTTAAAAATTGGCTACTGCAGTGTAACTGTTCAAATGTAATCAGAAAAAGGGTAAATTGCATGAAGTTGGTTTTCATCAGCAGATTGTAATGACCAGCAATAGAAAAGATTAAGGCTTTTTTCTCAACGTATACTTAGTCAACTCATATCTTAGCTTGTGGTATATACCTTCTTGGATCATAACTATCACCATGAAAAGCAGAAATAAGATATAAACATTGGTGTGTTACTGGTACTGAAAATCCCCCCACCAAATTGATGGGAGAAAGGACTGTATTTTTACTTTGCCTTAGTGGTTCAGACGTGTTTTGATAAGGCTTTTCTCCAGCTGAAGCACAGGGGTGCTAAATGCAAATGTGAGTATAGGGGAAGAGCAACCGGAATGTATATTTTGGAAGTAGTATTTCATATGTAGTGAAAGAATTGGAGAAAGGTGGAAGTGAAGGTACTGAACTAAGTGGTATAAATAATGAGCTGCATGTGTCTGTCGTGGAGTGTCTGGGGGTTTGCTCTATTTGGCCACTTTGTCTTCTCCAGTTCTTAAACCAGACAAATTTATCATAGGCCTCAACGGAAGCAGACAGCTAAATTAGAACAGAGGTGGGGCTGGTGAAAGCTAATGCGGGAGCAAACCAGCTTAGCACGTAGAATAATTGTTGGAGCTTTGGGTGTGCGTTTCCTGGAGGTGAGGTGGTCTCCTAGATAGCCACTGCTACAGGAATGTAGGTTGGACCTAACCCTCCTCTGGAAGGGAAGCAATAAAAAGGGGTGTAGCAGCCAATAATTGAATTGTTCTAGATTTCTGGGAACTTGAGTTTTAGTTTTGGCCTTGAAGTTTGCAGTGGTAACATGGCAGAGAGCGAAAATTTAGCTCTGTAACAGATGAGGGTGTTACTGATAGAATTGGTGAGGACTTTTTCAAATAAAAAAGGATTTTTCTAGGGCGAGGGTAGAAGGTCCTTTGAAACAAAAATGTTTTGTATGGGCTTAACAAGTTTTGATAGCTTCAGATGCTAAAATCAGTTCTCAGACTTGCAGATTAAAATCAACTACCAATTACTGCATCTGTTACATCAATTAAGTTATGGCCTTTTTGGGTACTTGGCCTTTGGTTTAGATGTCACAGATAAAACACAGCCTAGAATTGCCAATAGCTTGGCATTTGGAAATTATTTTTTTCTTTCCTTCTCTTTTGAGATAATTTGGGGAAATGGAAAAAGCTCAAAATTTAGAGTTTTTGCTATTCTTATTTTATTATGAAACTGTTTTCCTGCTCTTTTATCTCCCTGACTTAGTTACAGAGGAAGTAGAGAGGGTACTGTTATTCCATGGCATTGTAAAATGCCATTTATATGGCATTTTAATGTATCTTAGAGCAAAAAGCATGGGGATTGTGTCTGTGAAATGAGAAGGTACTGAGGCGTGCTTGCCAGTGAGAGGATTTGAGGGCTCTTGCAAATAACTGCAAGGGTTTCTCTTGCTGTGCAGCTACCATGAAAAAGGTAAACAGGATAGCACTTACTGAGACTGGAGTACAGCGTAAGTCAGATTTGCTCACTGGAGAGTAGTGGGAACATTTTTGTTCTTGGCTTGTGGAAGATAGCAAAATTAATTTTTGCTTCTAGGCCAGATAAACTCTGCAATGAAGAGACTGAAAGCATACAAAT